TCAGCACCTTTGGCAAACTACAGTTCCTAGGATTATTTGAAGGAAGGCATGACTGTTTAAAGTGGCATGATAATGCTCCAAATGCATGATGCAGAAGTGGCCTAAGTCACTGTCAGATGGTGGTGAAACACTTTCAGCCTGACATTTTTTGAAGAAGGAGGGGGGGAAATCCAGCAGGCCAAATCATTTTGAAGCAGCAGCTTGGGAGATTTAAATTACCAGTCCTTGTCAAGGGAAGGGTTCGAACTCTCTTATACACACAAGGGCATACCTTCCTTGCCACTCCCACCCCGTAGAGTGCACGACAACACAAGACTTTCCTCTCATCTGCTGGTGAACAACCAACCTGCTTCTTACAATTTCCTGGATCGTTGTACAACCGCAGGAAACCATCTGCTAAGCCCTACCAGTCTCATGTTTCTTTGGCGATTTTCATCCTGCTAGCCAAGCTAAACAGTTTCAACTTGGCACCCAGCTGTAGCTCCAGCAGCAGCAGCAGAAGTCCACTCCTGGCCAACCCGTTGTTTCATGGGACCTTTCCCATTTGCCAGCTTATCAGTTTCCAGCTCAGGTGGCGCTTGGGTCCTTTTGGCACGTATAAAACATCACTTGGGTTTAGGGGAACCTTAGGCCCACATGCCCAAAAAAGCAGTCTCTGCTTTTTCATCTGGCTCCCTGCAGTCCCCACCCCCCAATCAATGGCCCCTGGAAATCTGGCTTGAACTCATCTGGCCTCAAGCCCAATCTCTGTGGGCTGCATCAGCCAAGTTTGGGGTTCCACAGGAGGCTGGCAGGTCCAGGATGAAGGGGGATTCCAGCCAGAGGCCAAGGCAACGTGTGAGAAAGAAAGGGAGGGAGGACATTCCACAGAACAACTTGCTTCCGTGAAGTTGCTCTGTGCGACTTCCAAAAACAGATGCCAGCAGAGGAAAGGTGGCACATACAGCAAAGTGAGGATATGCATCAGAGGGCACATACGCACAATGCATTATGCAGGGGTAGGCCTACAAGAGGCTGCAGGTGAGGGGATGTGGCCCTGTTGGAAGCAGGAAAAGGTTTTCAGGGCTCCTGCCAGTAGGCTGGTGGTGAGAGCCCAGAAGAGGCGAGGCACAGGGATCTGACCGGCTGCTCAGTGAGACGATTTGCTGAAAAGCTGACTTGGATAGGATGGTTTTTATAAGCCCTGGAGAGCTGCTGCTAGTCTGTGTAGATCAGCCTTTCTCAACCTTGGGTCTCCATATGTTGTTGGACTACAACTCCCATCATCCCTGGCCACTGTTCCTGCTAGCTAGGGATGATGGGAGTTGTAGCCCAACAAGATCTGGGGACCCAAGGTTGGGAATGGCTGGTGCAGACAGTACTGATCTAGATGGACCAATGGTTCAGTATAAGGTAACTCCCTCTATCCCTATCTATTAATCGAGAGCCCTCTTTTCCCAGGCTTTTCCATTTCTCTCTCGCTTTGTCCCTCTCTCCTGCCTTCCTACTGCATTGCTCCCCTTCACAATTGTCCTCTGTCTCCCATTTCATTCCATTCCTCTCTGGCTACATCCTCCTGGCTTTCTACTCCTGCATCTGGCTATCTCAGGCCATCTTCCTATTTCCCAGGAGATCCCACAGCCACCCATGGATGATGTCACTTCCAGGTGCCAGGAAGGGGCTGTTCTCAGGCTACATGCTGCAGAGACTGGGTCACTGTGCACAGGAGGATTTCAGCATGTATAAGCTGCCACACCAGCTGAAATGTCCTTTGCATTTACAGCTTCCCATTCTGAGCAGCTGTCAAAAGAGATTTATTTACTTTTGAAGAAGAGCAAGATGGTCAACTGTATCCACCAGTGGCCAATATTAATCTCTGGTTTTTATTTATTTTTATTTTTTGCTTATCTTCAGCACGCCCTGTGTGAAAAATTCATTTGTCCCAGATTTAGAGGGACTTGGGAAGCCAATAAATCAAAGGCAGGCACAGGCTGAAATGGGCAACATTGGTCAACAGTTTCTGCCTGCCTGCCTGCCGCTTGGTAAACAGAAGCGCTCCAGTTGTGTCCTAGCCTCTTGTCAAGCATCAACACTGAGTCAACAACCCGCTCTTGTGGCTTAAGGCTTTTGATGTTTACTTTGTTCTTTCCACAGTTCAAAAGAAAAGCACTAATGCACCAGTCCTCTTACCAAATACTATCTTAATCCAAGAATCCAGAGCCTTTTGCTGTTGACCAGTTAAGTCTGTTAAGAAGAAAAGGATTTGATCAAGCTTTACATAACAACCCAGAAGTCAAATCCAGCTTCTTTTTTGGACCGGATCAGACGGCTCTTTTCATCTTTGCTGCTCAGATGCCTTGTTAATAACAAAGGGGTGAAGGGAGGGGTGGTAATGACACTGACAATGTGGAAACAAAAGCAAGGGATTCAATTATTTCCCTGTTTATTGCTTTGCCTTTTGGTCCCAACTTTGGTACAATCAATGCTATGAAGGTTCCCAAAGCTGGGGAGCTGCAAATTCAATTAACTGCTATTTGTTTTAGTATGAGTGTTGGGGCTTTGGCACAGATCAGTGACATCAGACCAACAAAAGGCTACACGGTACTATTCTTCTGAAATGTGCCACAGTGCTACCAGGAAAGCATCACAGACCATTGGTTCGCAAGAAGAAGGAAAGTGAAGAGAAGGAAAGTAATGGACCTGGGGGGCTGTGACTAAAAGCTCATCCTTGATACGGGACTAGGCACCAGCTGCAGGAAGCTGAAATCTGAGTCCCAGAAGGAATAGAACAGGTGTTGTTGCATAGAGCACTGGGACAGATGCACAGGTAAGTCAATCCTCTTTTAAAGCCATCTAAGTTGTTGGCCATCACTACAACTTGTGGCAGCAAACTCCACAATTTAACTATGTGCTGTGTGAAGCACTTCCTTTTGTCTGTCCTGAATCTTCCAACATTCAGCTTCATTGAAAGCCCATAAGTTCCAGCGTTATGTGAGATTAGGGGGAAACTTTCCTCTTTTCCAGTTCCTCCACACCCCTGCACAGTTTTATACCCCTCCATCACCTCTTCTCCAAACTAAAAAGACTCAAATGTTGTAACCTCCCATCAGCCATAACAACACAAGAAGAGCCTGCTGGATCAGGCCAATGACCCATCTAGTCCAGCATCTTGTTCTCCCAGCAGCCAACCAGTTGCCTATGGAAGCCTGCAAGCACAACCTGAGCACAAGAGCACCCTCTCCTTCTGTGGCTTCCATCAACTGGTATTCAGAAGCATTTCTGCCTCCAACAGTGGAGGTAGAGCTAGCCTTATCCTCTGTGAATTTGTCTAATTCTCTTCTAATGCCATCGAAGTTGGTAACCCTTTCCTCTTGTGGGAGTGATGCTGGTAGATTATTCCTTGCTGGAATAACTGTGGGTGGGCTTGTGGAACATCAAAGCACTACTTCATAGAGGAACCAATTCAAACAGAAAGAACAAGGAAGCCACAAGAAAGGAACCATCTACTTGCCTTGCAACTGCAAGGGAATCCAGCGAGGGAAAACACTTCTCCACATGAAAAGGCCACAGCGTTCAACAATGTCCGTCAGACTTCTTGTACATAAGCAATACCAAGAAAAGGTGTTCCATTGCCTAACAGAGAAGATTGCTGCCAACCTAGTTTGAGGATATCGGGTGTTGCATATTAAGTTAGACTTAAGGGGGTTTTTCACTGCACCTTCTATAATGCCACTGCCCAAGGCCATACAGTGATTTAGATATTCAAGGCTGGTGTTTCATACCATAAAGGTGCATGGAAATTTGCACCGCAGTGTTGTTCCACATACCCCTTTTAACAGGCTTCTTTCTGCTTGTAATCACCCCCTCTTATAGCAAACTCAGGTGCTGAGTGCTGACAGCTTTTTAGCCCAAACGTTCAGGAGAAGCTTTAGGATTGCAGGAAGTGCAAAAAAACCCCCAAAAAACCACAACACGTTTTAAAAACCAAAGAAAGAAAGAAAGAAAGAAAGAAAGAAAGAAAGAAAGAAAGAAAGAAAGAAAGAAACCCTGCCAAAAAGTGTGTCAAACCATCTGCATGCTCAACCACCACTAAAGGTACACTGGGATGTTTCTCTTTAGGGTGTGGTTTTTTGTTTTTGTTTTACAAAATAGGGGAGAAAATAGAAAAATTCCCTGATAGGATAAAATGACTGCTGGAACCTTGACCTGGAAAAATCCTTCTGAGGAAGATACTCAGCAACATTTTTGTTGTTGTTACAATTTGTTCTTACTGTTGAATATAGACACATCTGCACCATATATTTAAAGCACTATGATACCATTTTAATAGTCATGGCATCCCTCCAAAGGACCCTGGGAACTGTAGTCTGCTAAGGTTGCTGAGAGTTGGTAGGACACTCTTATTCTCCTCACAGAGCTCCAGTTTCCAGAGTTCCCTGACAAAAGGGACTGGCTGTTAAATTAAGGTTACCAGATTTTTTTTCAACGAATCCAGGGACACTTTTCAACTTGGATGGATACAAAATGGATTTTGTATGGGGACTGGTTTGTAAATCCGGGGACTGTCCCCGGGAAACGGGGACGTCTGGCAACCTTATGTTATATCACTCTTAGGGCTGTTGCTCTGAGAGGCAAATTGGGGCCTCCTAACAACTCTCAATGCCCTTAATAGACTACAGCTCCCAGAATTCTTTGGGAGAAGCCACGACCATTCAAGTTTTATAATAGTGCGTTAGACTTATGGTAGCGGATGTGACCTATATCTTTGATCAGACATATACCAGTGGTTCTTACAAGAAGCAAAAACTCCAGGCCTCAGACTCTTGAAGGGACTCTGTGCAATTAAGGCCACACAAACCTTTCACTGGCTGACCAAGGAAACTTCAGGAGGATGTTTTGTTTACCCACCTGCCTTTACAGATACATGCCTATACACACATCTCTTGAACATGCACAGAGCAAGTCTCCTTTGCTTTTTCTTAAAATGTAATCATAGTAATTTATATATTTTAAAAAGGTACCTTCCAGGTGAAAGTGTTCATTTTCAATTGCCTCCCTGTAAACTTCACCAGCTGCATCCTGTAAAAAAAGTAAATAAAACAACAAAGGGGAGCTATTAGCAGGTGTATGAATATGCAAGACGGCTATTCTTTTAAGTTGCACAACAATTTTTCTAGATTACATTAATCTGGAAATACGTGCCAAAATTGCATCTGAGCAGATGGAGCACACATCCAGCTCAGTACAATTCTGGAAACTGCTCTGCAGTTCACCAACTGGTCCTGAGTCCAGTCAAAACTGCACCATACATTTAAAGCACATGGCTTCCCACCAGACAATCCTGGGAACTGTAGTTTGTTAAGGGTGCTGGGAATTGTAGTTCTGTGAGAAGTAAACTACAGTTCCTAGGATCCTTTGGGGGGGTAGCAGGATGCTTCAAATATGCTTTAGATGTATGGAACAGATGTGACCCCAGATAATGCATGTTACCCATAAACACCAGATGTCAGCCATGTCATTCCAGGCCCTTGACTGACTTGCATAGATGTCATCCTAAAGGCCTATAACAAACATGGCATCTTTTGTGCAACTTTTATTACTAATAACAATAATTTCATTTATGAATCACTTTCAATAAGGCACCCCAAAGCAATTTACAATAAAAACATATATAAAACAGCTCCATGTATAATAACAGTTTTTAAAAATGCATTTATAAAACCAAGCACACGGTTTAAAATGACAACGCCACACACACAAGGTTGTGGAATTCCCTCTCCAAAGCCAAGCATTCTAGCACATGGGGAGGCAAAATAAGGCCCGGGGGTCGGATCTGGCCCAATCCTGGGAAGATTTATTGTTAAACCACACTTATCAAACTGCACTTCCCATGATTTGGGGAAAGCAATTAACTGTTTAAAGTGGTAAGATACAGCTTTAAATGCATGGTGCAGATGTGGTCTCATTACTTCACACTCTGAATTTCTACGAACACACCCAGCATGAAGAACCATGCTAATTAAAACCACTGTTTATAGTATACTATTATAAGACTCCATTTGAAATAGTAATAATAATGCAAACAGCCCATCTGCACTTCTCCATACAACTAATATGCCAATATAAGTAATATGTTTTTAATCATCACATGGTTTTATGTACTTTTTTAAAAAACAAAACCACAGAGTTCTTACTTATCACTTTTTGCATTGCTTTAAGTTCACGTAGGTAGCAAGCTCATAATTATTGACAATTCAGACTTTTCGTATTTATTTATTTCCACCCTTCCCCCCCCCATCCTCAGATGATTTTTTATAACCACAACTTCCAAGCAGTGGTTTGACTGACTTTGCAAGAGCAGCAATGCATGTATATTAGTGGCCCACTAACTGAATACCCTCCCCCCTAAAAAGACTGTGGCAGCCTTTGTAAATTTCAGTGACACAGCTAGACAGCTAGAAGTCATCAGCTGTCAATTAAATTTGCTCCTTCATGCCAGTCTGATTATGGCATGCATTATCTCTGATAGACAGACATTTATTTAATAGGGCTGTGCGGGCAGCCAGACAATATATGCTATTATTATGCTAAGAACCATAAGGAGGAAATGTTTATTTATTAATGGAGGAGGAAGCTGCATGGGCCCATATGCTGCCATTGATAAATTAACCCGGCACCCTCTTTATGAAGATGCACCAAGGCCCGGATCCAGAGGGAAACAAGTTGCACTAAGGTTCAATCAAAACTAATGGGGCTTAGGCTGCAGTGATATTCGCCTGGGAATGATAAGCGCCTGTGAACTCGCTGATTTACTTCCAAATAGACATGTATTAGGTTACACTGCCAAACTTAAATTTCCCTGAATCAGGGCCCCTAGGCAACAGTAGGAAGCTGCCACCCACAACACTATTCTGCAACATTCTGAAATAAACAACAAAGTAATTTCTGCACAACCCACCTGTCCTCAGCCTTTTAAAAAGAAGACTATATTATGATTATTACCCTTGATTTATTAATTGCCAACTAAACCACCGTCTCAATGTGATTTTTCACATAAGATAATCAAAAACAGGAATCAGGGCCCTCTCTCCACTGAGCTGGGAGGGCGGAAGGGACCGAGAGGATTGGGGCAGGCTTCCAGGTCGCCCCACCTGTTTAAAGCAAGCTAGCAGAAGAGGGCGAGCAGTAAGAGGGCAAGAGAGAGATGTTCTGCCTACACTGGATGCAGCCAGAAGCAAACAGTGCTGGCATTGATCAAAGAGCCCTAGTGGAATGGAGCCAGAGCTGAAATGCTAGTGGCAAGAGGCCTGGCCAAGGAATGGAAGGCAGGCCAGTGAGACTTGAGGGGAGTCCAAAACAACTGGGTAGTACAGGTACCTGCCTGGAAGGAATCACACCTGGAGAGTCACACAGAGAAGGTCAATATTTGGCTATTGCCCAAGTGAAGACTAGTAGCATTTGCAGATTTGCCAGACCAGGAGTGGGGTGGGGAAACAGATGAAGTGGAGACTGGGTGGGTAGAGCAACAGTAGAACTTGAGAGGATAACACAACTCCTTATCCAGGCTTCTCTTGGCAGCATTAAGTGACTGGCTACAATGTGCAGCACACGTTAGTTCTAATCTTGGTCAGACCCGGCAGGTGCGATCTATTCTCACATCATACTGTTGGTAGGCTGCAAGGATATATCCTGTTCCCTTCACCCCTCTAAGGGGACAAGCCCTTTGCAAATGCTGTTTAGCCCTGGTTCCCCCCTCCCTTGCAACGAAACACAGGTGTGCAACCTCCATGGGGCAGGATAACATTGCTCCATAAATCTGTCAGCAGAGGGTGCTGGTTGAACAGATGGCTTTGCATTCCACAGGCAGCAATATCCGCCCTCCCTTTCTCCCACTCCTGGAGTTCCTGTCCCCAATCTGCAAGCCCAGGTATGTCAACACCCTCCTTTCCAGAGCAGCTCAGGATTTCAATGGGACAGGAAGCTGCAAAGGGAGTGTGGGGGGGGGAGAGTAGAGAAGGAGGGAACATAACCCCCCTCCACACACAAAAATCTTGACATCATCAGCTTGTTCGACCCATCCAGACCAAGAGTGATCCCAGCATGAAATAGGAACATCAATAACTTGAAAAGACATAGAGTATTTCCCCCCTCTCCTACCCCTCCCCTCCTACGTTCAGAAATATGCAAGGCAGCTGCCCTGAGCCGGTGGGAGAGAAAGCTGAGACGAAAAGGATGGAGAATACAAAAGCTATACTGGCACATAAGCTTGAAAGGAGCTAAACAGCCACGCTTGAATTCCAGATTTCACTACTATGGTGTTTTGTTTTGTTTTTTTACAGACAAGACACCATTGAGGAAGGGCCGCAGCTCAGGGCCAGAGTATCAGCTTTGCATGCAGAAAGTCCCAGGTTTAATCCCTGGCATCCCCAGGGTAGGGCTGGGAAGGACATCTGGTCTGAAGCTTTGGAGAGCCACTGGCCCACATGTCCCGCTGACATGTTCTCTGAATATCAGCTGGGAGGGGCAGTAGATGGGGGGCAGGATTATACTTCTTACCACCTCCCACACTTGTGACCTACCTCTTCCTTCTCCTCCACTGCCCCCCCCGCCCCCTTCAGTGTGCCGGGGCTTCCCTGGACTGCCTTAGGTGGTGGTGGGGTGGCAGCAGGGGGTGAAGGAGGAGATGGGGGGCAGTGGAGGCGCAGCCTTATCTGTTTTGCCCTGACTGCCTCGAAACACCTGCCACAAACGTTTGAAGCCCTCTTTTATAACTTCTAAATGTGAAAGTTGCAACAATGGGTCTGGGTCAATGTCTGATCAGGGTACCATGAGTTTCACGGAAGGCAAGTGGGATAGAAACTACGTAAATAATTGCATAGTAAGCTACCTTGTACCTAGATAGTCCGCTTAGCTCAGTATTGTTTACACCAACTCCCAGCATCTCTCCAGCATTTCTGACAGGGTTTTCTCTCAACTCTAACTGGAGACCCCAGGGCATTCTGGGACATTTTTCATGCAAAGCAGATGCTCTACCCATTAGCTACAGCCCTTGGGTGGAATGAATCATTCCACCAGGAGATATTGAAAGGAGATCACAGGTTTTTTGACAAGTTGTGAACCCCCTTTTTCTAGTTACAACAAGCGTGCATTACTGGGGACAAATGTTACAGCAGAGCTGAGCCAGAGGCAACAATCTGAGACGAGACAGGGATGGTGTCAGACAATTAGTGCCAGGAATCAAGGGCAAAGGGCAAAGCAAGATGCAGGATCCGGGAGCAAGCTTACAAGTCTAGACCAAAAGATATGGAAGGGATGAGGAATCTAGTACCTTCCAGATATTGCCAGACTATAACTCCCAGCATCCTCAACAAAGTGGCCATGCCAATGTTGTCTGGAAAACCACAGGTTCCTCAATGCCCAGGAAAACTTAAGTGAAGCAGGAAGCTCTTTCATAATTCTTCCTGCCCTGAAAGATCCAATGGCCAGCCTGGACGGGTGGGGTCAGAAAAGAGTTTGAAGGGCAATGCCTCAACCTGAAATCCAGTGACTTACAATGAAGGGCAGCTGCACACAGATCCAAAGGCTATCACGTGGGTCCCTTGTTGGGCCCAGGCATTCCCAGGCAGGTGCTCCAGTGCCAAGGGTTGCTACTGATATTTCCCTATTCCCCATCTTTACACAAATAATTAAATCTGGATCACCTAAAGCTGGCCACCTTTCTGGCAAATTATGATGTGTCCCAGAGACACTACATAAGAACAAAAGAAGAGCCTGCTGGATCATGCCAATGGCTCACCTGGTCCAGCATCCTGTTCTCACAACGGCCAACCAGAAACTTCAATTTAAAGCCTGCAAGCAGGACCTGAGCAAAAAAGCACTCTCCCCTCCTGCAATTTCTAGCAAATGGTATTAAGAAGCATTACTGCCTCTGACTGTGGAGGCCGAACATACAGCAAGCATTGTGGCTCCAGTAGCCATTGATAGCCCTCTCCTCCATGATTTTGCCCGGTCCTCTTCTAAAGCCATCCAAGTTGGCAGCCATCATTGCCTCCTGTGAAAGTGAGTTCCAGGGTTTAACT